CCAACGATTAGTGGGATTGACCGATACATTATTACGCCCCACGGCTGAAAGGGCGAGCATGTTTGGTGTGACGGGGGAATCGAACCCGTGACCCACATATTGCGAGTCGAGCGCCCTAACCACCTGGCCTTTACACTTTCCTTGTGCTGGATTTGAATATAGAATTAAACTAAATAATCTCAAGGTGTTAGAGTAATATCGAAAACTAATTAATGAATTACATATATATATCATGAGACTTAAAACTCCTAATGCATATCTGCTCACAACTGTTACGTTGAAAAACAAATAGTAGATTCATAATATTCTATAATCTTAAAGAAGATAAAGCTGTACTCCATCTTCTTATAAAACACATCTTTCTCTAAAGTTCTCTTTACAGACTTAGAACATTAAAATCCGAGGCTCGGTTCCCGGTGGTGGACAATGGTGAAGATTTGTGTCAAAAAAGCAGACAGTCAATTTTTAATTTTAAAATTATCCTATTTCTTTCGTTTGTTTCTTCGAACAAAACTACACTGAGCTACCTGCTGTGTCTGCCGCGGGAAATCGAACCCCGGATTTTAGCGTTGTAAGACCGTAAATTTCGACTCGGCAAAATTTAATTCAAATAAACTTCATTATTTCCGGAAATCTTACAAATTATTGTAATTTTAAGATCAAAATGATTAACGCACTGATGCCAGATACGTGGCTGTAATATAAAGTAAGCGGTTTATTATTGTTTGACGCATTTTGAAATATTATTTTCATAACAGTTCTGATGAGTGTCAAGGCAAGTTTTATATTATTTCAAAATTAAATATATTGTTAATAGATCGAAAATGAAACAGATGTTCTAATCGATCGGAAATAATAAGAATACATTCTAATAGACTGAAAAACAAAATATAGTTTTACTAGAGTCTCTCGGTGAGTTAGCGCTAAGTTTACGGACTTTCAACGCTAAAATCTGGGATTCGATTCCCCGCGGTGGACACAGCAATGTTTTTAGTGCCTGGCTTATTGCACATGTCGAAAAATACGTTAATTTTTATTTTAATTATCTGTATTTTTCTTGTCTGACTAGTGATATAAACATTTGCCCCCAGTGGCACAGCGGAATGTCTGCGGACTTACAACGCTAGAATCCGTGGTTTCGCTACCCGTGGTTGGCAGAGAATATATAGCCCATCGTGTAGCTTTGTGATTAATTACAAAAAAACAAATTTAAACATTTTAGATTTTCGTCATATGAAAAAATTACTCAAAGAACCGTCGACGAGAGTATAATCACCTAGATGTTTACATAAGTTACCAAAAACGTGTAAAATTATCACCTGGATGTTTACATAAGTTACCAAAAACGTGTGAAATTATCACCTGGATGTTTACATGAGTTACCAAAAATTTTGGCAGTTTTGTTTTGCCGAGGCTGTTAATAATGTATAATACATATGGTTACCGATTGAAGTGTTTGTATAATAAGACATATCAAGTAGGAAAACATAGTCTTCGTTCCTGGAAGATTCAAATGGTATATATTAAAGCCTGAGAACAGCGAAACAACGAAAGGCAAATATCGTCAGTTTAAATGATTTCACATTTGTGTGTCTTATCTTACGTACAGAGCTTCTAATATACCTAAATTATGGGACGATAACAACTGACTTACTTTTCGAAGGCTTAAAATACAATATATATATATATAGAGAGATAGAGAGAGAGATAGAGAGGTACCGACCGGATTATACAATATAATTTTTTATGACAATTTTTCTCTGATCTGAACATGTGTGAGGCTTTGCCATAAAATTTCACACGTTTTTGGTAATTTATGTAAACATCCAGGTGATAATTTCACACGTTGATTGTATATTCGTAACAAAACAAACTGAATATATAGAGTACACTTATTTCCTTATATTTACATCGTACATATCGGTCTGAGTATTATTACATCAGGAGTCAAGTAGCGTTCTATGTTCCAGTCAAACCGGTTCTTCTGAAGATTGTAATCATCGTGCTAAGATCTTTCTTTAGTTACTGTTCTTGTTTTGTTTTTTTTTATTCTAAAGTTGCATCACTCTTTTTTTTTACTTGTTCTACGATTAGTAAAACATAAAATAATAGTAAATGATTTTTATGTGTGTGTTTATAAAGTACAGCTACGAAGTTGAGAATGATCTGACAAGAATAACAAAATAACACTCGTGTACATTGTTTAATCAGGTTAAGATTACTCTCATTATAGACTCGATAAAGAGAGAGAAAACTAAGATGAAAACGAAGAACTTAACAACTGAAATAGAATGACGATCACGTTCTGTCATGCCAATGAACTTCATTTGATACCACATCTAATAGGCTCTACTCATACCTACTCTCTCATCTCCACACCTTCAAAAAAGCGGTTCCTCACGCTTAACTTTTTCTCCCTATTTCTGTTATTCACGAGCTATATTTAAACAAAATAAAGTCCCCTCAAAAGTTCATAGGCGTACAACTTCCAATAATTGAGGCTGTCCTAGTTTGACGTTCTAGCTTTTTTTATAAAACAGTGAAGCCAGTATAAATAAGAGCTCGTGTTACGTTGTTTATTATATCTAACAGTGGTTACTTCCGATAAGAAACTATGATCCACAACAAGGTAAGCTTTAAAACCTTAGTCTCAGACCACGTTACTTAGATGTAAATATACATTTTAGATTTTGTTAACTTACATTACAAGTTCATTTTCTAATGTTCAAGTTACCATGTAATATACTTATTTCGAATTGAACATAAACAACTAAGATGACCACACTTGATGATAATACATAGGAACATTTCTGTAATTTTTTTTCTTTTTAATTAATGTGATATGAGATTTAACAGAAAATAATTTACTTTTCAGGAACAAAGATGTTACTGTTAACTATTTAACAAAGATATTATTGTTAACTATTTAACAAAGATGTTACTGTTAACTATTTAACAAATATGTTACTGTTAACTACTTAATAAATATTTTACTGTTAATTGTTTAAAAAATATGTTACTCTTAACTATTTAATAACTATTTTACTGTTAACTATGTAATAAATATGTTATTGTTAACTCTTTAACAAATATGTTACTGTTAACTACTTAATAAATATGTTACTGTTAGCTATTTAACAAATATGTTACTGTTAACTATTTAATAAATATGTTACTGTTAGCTATTTAACAAATATGTTACTGTTAACTATTCAATAAATATGTTACTGTTAACTATTTAACAAATATGTTACTGTTAACTATTCAAGAAATATGTTACTGTTAACTATTTAGCAAATGTGTTACTGTTAACTATTCAAGAAATATGCTACTGTTAAATATTTAACTAGGGATCAAGTAGATTTATTTATTATTCTATTGAATTTGTAAATTCGTACTTCCGTTTTTTGGCCTCTTGTTTCTGTAACATCAAACGAACTTATAGATCATACCAACTCAGCCATAGGCGTTATACACCATAAGACATAATGTTTCATTTGTGTTTTGTAATAAGTAGCAATATTAATAGGATGTGTTAAAAGCGTGTGTATTAAGAATTGTGTAGCTGCCTTACTGAAACTTCCTCTATATTAAGTATGTAGTCTGGTGATTTGTAACTTTTACTCTTTTATATATCTTTAGAAATGGTATATATATATAGCAAAAAGAATATATTTTCTTTTCATTAATATACCAATAAGAATTTGGATTTCTAAAATTTTAATACCATTATAGTTGATTTTCTTCACAATAATAATAAATGTTTTTAATTTTGCTTTCCAGATTTTAGTTGGGCTATGTCTGTGTCTCCTACTATCAGGGGTGGCCAGTAAAGATGAGGAAGCTATTTCTGATGATTCTCAGGATCTCAGAGCTGACGCTACCGGATACGGAGGAGGTGGTGGAAGTTATGGAGGAGGAGGAGGCGGAAGTTATGGTGGAGGTGGTTTTGGAGGAATTGGAGGTGGATTGGGTGGATTTGGTGGTGGTGGTGTAGGAGCAACAGTTCTTGCTATTCCTATCAGTCTGTCGTCCGTAGGAGGTGGATTTGGCGGTGGATATGGAGGCGGTGGAATAGGAGGTGGTGGACTTGGACTTGGTGGTGCAATAGGAGGCGGTGGATATGGTGGCGGTGTAATAGGGGGTGGTGGATATGGTGGCGGTGGAATAGGAGGTGTTGGATATGGTGGCGGTGGATTTGGAGGTGGTGGATATGGTGGCGGTGGTCTTGGAGGTGGTGGGTATGGTGGAGGTGGATTTGGAGGGGGTGGACTTGGAGGTGGAGGTATCATTACTCTTCGACTATCCTCTGTAAATGTTGGCGGTCTTGGTGGTGGATTTGGCGGAGGCGGATCTGGAAGAGGTGGTGGGAAAGGTGGATATGGAGGAAGATCAATCTGGTGGGATTAACGGTTCGTATTTTTATGTTTATTTCAACTTTTCACAAATTTCGTTTTTCAATACGTAGATATTTAACCTGTTGAATCAATAAATAAAATATTTAATTCTTAAACAGTTACGTTGCTTCATTAAATTGAATTTCATTTTTCGTATAATTAATAAATAAACGCTAAACGTACATTATAATGAAAAATGTAGGATATACAAAAGTTGATAATTTTCAATGTTAATAAGAAACATTCATTTAAGACCCTGAGTGACGTATTTTAATGTGTTTTGATAAATGTTCGTTCTGTATTTTAGATGAGAAGACCATCCCAGCCTTCCTCTCTTAGATACCAAATATTGCGTTTCACCTAAGCATCTTTAGAAAGAAGTTATTTCAGTCTACATCGTCCGATATCACAAACTTGTTCTTATCTAAACATGTTTCAGGAGAAATCATCTATACTTTCATTATCAAAAGACAGCAGTTAATTTACATACCTTTTTATACGTGCAAGTAACATAACGTCTTATTCTACTAGTGATTTGAATTAATAAAACAGTTTCATTAACATAAGCTTTTCACCTGTTCGTGTTTTACTTCAACAAATATCATCATGATACATTTTGTTAGAAATCACAAATATCAAAAGTTACTGGGTGGTAACACAATTTTCAGTTAAAAATTAATGAAAATAATATCATCTGAAGTAAAGTAATGTTTTTGTCAACATTTTCCTGTTTGAAAATGTGCCTCTCAAGAAAAGAAGCAATTCAGATTAAAACTTCAAAAATATAACTTTAAATGGAGATAAAGATACAGATATCAAGAAATCAACATCTTGTTGAATTCTCTGCTTCACAAATTTTAACGTGTTCTTGCCAATTTAATTTTCTATCAAAACTTATACCAAAATACTTCACATTTTCAACTGGTTTTATGTTTACATTATATAACTTAATTTGAGCGTTATTAATAGCTTCATTATTTTTTTTTGATATGTTATTTCTCCTGTGAAAAATAATAAGTTTAGTTTTCTCAGAATTTACAATTATTCTCCATACATTACACCACAACTCTAAATCCATTAACACTAACTGCAAATGTTTTATAATTATTAACACAAAATGACGTGTAATCTAATATGTAATGTTGTACGCATACTGTGAAATATTAATAATGCTTATATCTACTAGTAGACATGGTATATCATTACTATAGAGACAAAATAACAAAGAACTCAAAACGGTTCCTTGTGAAACTCCTACCTCTGGTATAAATCATCTGAAAATTCACTATTAATTTTAATTTTGTTACATCTATTTTTAATAAAACTATTCATCCATCTGATTAATATATAGAGCAAACTAAAACCATGCATTAACTTATCAATTAATCCATTGTTTCATATCCTATCAAGTGCTTTTTCTTTTTCAAGAAAAATTTCTCCCGTAGGATTTTTATAATTAAAACCCATCAATTATTGACTCTGTGAGCCTTACCAAATGATCAGAAGTTTAATGTTTTTTTCTTAGAACAAGCTTAATATGGATTTAACTTTTTAGTGCTTCCTAAAGAACTTAATAATCTATTATTTAAAATTTTCTCAAGTATTTTATATAAACAACTTGTTAAACTAATTGGCCTATAAGGAGAACTTTTCATTTTGTTAGGTTTTAAAACCATTATAATAACACTTGATTTCCACATTTTTGGAATAAATCCTGTTTTATAAGATAAAGTAAATAAATTAGAAGTTTTATCATATAACTCTTTATCACAATTCTTTAACATTACATATTGTATATTATCACATCCAGGGGTTCTATTCTTTTTAATATATTTTAAAATCTTGATTATTTCATCAGATTTAATGATATGATCATCATTTAAAATGGTTAAGTTAAATGTATTAATAATGTTTATCATATAATTTCCATTCTTATTCGTTTGATTACAACTAACAACTAGATGTTTACCGTTAAAATCGCCCATGATTTATAAATTGTGTAACGAATTTGTTGCTATATATTTATTTTAAGGTCAACGTTTGTTGATTGAGTTTATATTTGAAAACATGCCTAACTTATAGTGTTAGATAGGTATTGCGAAACTCCCGTCTATTCTCTAAAGTTGTAGAAGATTCTCGAGAGTAAGAATCAACAATATATGTATAAACTTAAACCCTTAAATGTAGTTCAGTATTGTTACGTAAATCTGAATTTTCTAGAAAATCTTCCCACGCCTATAAATTCAACCAACACGACGAGCCGAGAGTGTCTGTTATTAGTTCGCTATAATCAGTGTGCTATAAACTTCGAAAGCTATAAATGTGATTTTTATAACGCTTATCAATCGGAAAACTTAAGATATCTGACCAGGAACATTTATAAATTTCGAACGTTACAAATCGTTTAACTTCAGTGGATTCTCATCGGACATCAATAATTTTACAAAAATATATAAATTCATCGTGGAGAACTCAGCGTGTGTGGCCAAGGACAAAGCTAGCTAACTTCCCAGCGGATCGTATCTACATCAACTCGCTCGTCGTGAACCCTCGATAAGATATCAAGGAAGTTCCAGACTAGAAAGAAAACTTTATATTGTTTGTAGGTTTGTGAAACCTCATGTTTTTGGTGGTGGATTTGGAAGAGGTGGTGGGAAAGGTGGATATGGAGGAAGTTCAATCTGGTGGGATTAACGGTTGATATTTTTATGTTTATTTCAACTTTCACAAATTTCGTTTTTCAATACGTAGATATTTAACCTGTTGAATCAATAATTAAAATATTTCATTCTTAAACAGTTACGTTGCTTCATTAAATTGAATTTCATTTTTCCTATAAATAATAAATAAACGCTAAACGTACATTGTAATGAAAAATGTAGGATATACAAAAGTTGATAATTTTCAATGTTAATAAGAAACGTTCATTTAAGACTCTGAGTGACGTATTTTAATGTGTTTTGATAAATGTTCGCTCTGTATTTTAGATCAACTTAACTTGTAAAAGAGAAAATCATCCAAGCCTTCCTCTCTAGATACCAAATACTGCGTTTCACCTAAACATCTTTAAAAATAAGATTCTTCAGTCTTCGTCGCCAGATACCAAATACTGCGTTTCACCTAAACATCTTTAAAAATAAGATTCTTCAGTTTTCGTCGCCAGATACCAAATACTGTGTTTCACCTAAACATCTTTAAAAATAAGATTTTGACGAAATACCAAATAAAATATGACATTATGCTGCATGCGTGTAGAAACAAACCATGTAAAGTATTCCTTGACTTTTATTGACGAAAGCTTAGATATGCTGCATGCGTGTAGAAACTAACCATGTAAAGTATTCCTTGACTTTTATTGACGAAAGCTTAGATATGCTGCATGCGTGTAGAAACAAACCATGTAAAGTATTCCTTGACTTTTATTGACGAAAGCTTAGATATGCTGCATGCGTGTAGAAACTAACCATGTAAAGTATTCCTTGACTTTTATTGACGAAAGCTTAGATGATTTCTCCTGAAACATGTTTGAATAAGAAGCAGTATTTGGTATCTGGCGACGAAGACTGAAGTAAAAGTCAAGGAATACTTTACATGGTTTGTTTCTACACGCATGCAGCATAATGTCATATTTTATTTGGTATTTCGTCAATAAAAGTCAAGGAATACTTTACATGGTTTGTTTCTACGCATGCAGCATAATGTCATATTTTATTTGGTAGTTTAGTTCAATAAAACAATTTCATTGTGGAATGAACTCTTCCCGTGTTCGTATCTTACTTCACCATAATATCATAATGTCACCCTTTCTTCTAAATCACTTTTAAAGCCGCTGTTGTTGAATGGTTAACATGATTTTCAGTCGGATTTAAAATAACAGTTTCATGAAAATTTCCATGTTGTAAATGGTGTATCTCTAAAAAAAGAATAAATACAAATCATAATTTAAAAATATAACTTTTAATAGATATCGAGGTAAAGATATTAAGAAATAAAAAGTTATCGAATTATCTGATATGCTAAACTCAACACGCATGCACAGAGCTCTAACCAAGGACCGCGTTCAAAGTCCAATTCTACTCCATAACAAAAGAACTCTCCAACAGGAGCGCTCTCGTGTTACCTTCTTAATATGACTATCAAATCTACACAAACGATGTTGTAAATTACAACAACGAATTTTATAACTTTAATAAACGAAGCCACAAAAACTTGTTTAAACTGTAGAAATGTGTACTATTGTTGTTTGTTAGTTAATAGAAAATATTAGCGAAACGTTTAATACTGCATCACCTATATCCAGCACTAAATAACACAGTTGACTTTTAAAATGTTTACTTTCCAAAATAATTGAATACGTATATTAGATCATATTTTTCGTTCTATGATATTCACAGTATATCATAATAAACTAGATCCATGGTAGCTTATTGTAGTAGAGTTCCTCTTAAATCGAGACAAAAACTCTGACATGGATTTTAAATTGAATCTTGTGTCACTAGATCTAGATCTCATTCATACAATTTGTTTAAAAACTTACACATGAAGTAATACAAATTAAGCTTCAATGTATAATTGTATATCTTTAAAGCACTCGCATAAACTAGTGTTAAGCTTTGTATACAATTTCTTACGTTAAGAACAATAATCTAAACTTGGTGTTGTATTCGGTATTCAAGAACATACATTTATATCAATTATCTAAAATCTAAACTTTACGTTATCCTCAGCATGCAACTATATATATATTTAAAGTGGTAATTTTAACTTCGTGTTAAATTCAATATACAATATAATACATTTAATATATCAACTTATTGTGGTGTTATTTTTAAGCCACCAAAGTAACTGTTCCAAATAACCACTTTATCTTAGTGTTAGATCCATACATACGTTCAAGTAACCACACCTACACTGAATCTTAAATTCAATATACAATATAATACATTTAATATATCAACTTATTGTGGTGTTATTTTTAAGACACCAAAGTAACTGTTTCAAATAACCACTTCATCTTAGTGTTAGATCCATACATACGTTTAAGTAACCACACCTACACTGAATCTTAAATTCAATATACAAGTGTATACTTTAATGTAGAAACCTAATTTTAACTTTAGATTTAGAACACAATTACAACCTGTTACATTTCCCCGGTGTATCAGCGGTAAGTTTACGAACTTACAACGCTAAAATCCTGGATTCGATTTTTTGCGGTGGACTTAGCGCAAATGGCCAACTGTGTAGCGTTGCACTAAAACAAACAAATATAACTTGTGTGTGTATTTTACTTGTTCAGTTTTCTCTCAGTCTATCCATTTTCTGCAGAGAAAATTATAAACTTAGATTTAAATAACTGGTCAAATCACTAAGATTTTCCTTCTAATAGATGATAAGAGTTTTATGTATCCTTCAGAAATACTCGTCACTCACATAAATTCAGTGAAATTATAGGTTTTAATTCACAAAACGTCTCACACTTTATCACAACCTTCAGTCTTAATTAACTGTTTCAACCAAACATGAGATAACAGTATAATACAGTATTGAAATTCATTGAATGTAGCTGTAATGGTAAACAACTAAATTGTTTGAAATGTAAGCTGATTCAACCTATATCTAGTGCCTCCTGCTGGGTATGGAGATAATTATAAGTCTTTGACATTCTTTAATTTTAATCTGTTATAGTCGATCTTGTGAAATTTCCTCTACTTTAACAAATATTTTGTTGTATCTTTTTGAACTAGCATTGTTGAGATCTATTTTGTTGTATCTTTTTGAACTAGCATTGTTGAGATCTATTTTGTTGTATCTTTTTGAACTAGCATTGTAGAGATCTCAACAAACACTGTCAATTTGGGTTTGCAGTTTCACTAGGTTCTGTAGAAGACTCTCTAGCTGTAACGGCTTAAAATGTACTTGGTTTAAGAGTATATATTAGTTATACTAACTGGTCTAGTAAGGAAATTAATAACAAAAAATCATCCTTCCAAACATTTTATTTAAACGTTAAAGCGGTAAGTAATAACTGGATTCAAGACTTTGGTTCCTAATTAAAGCAATCACCGGTAAAGTTTGGTTGCTGTAAGATCCTCTCAAAAGCCAGTGGTCCTTGGAGTCCGTTCTACAATGGAGCCTGTGATAGAAGAATTATACACGTTTCTTCAATAAACATTAAAAGTTTGAAATCTAAATAATCACTTCAAAATATAAAAAGGTTAATTAGAACTAATTAAAATTCTAATAATCACTTCAAATATAAAAAGATGAATCGGTACTAATCCAATGAATTTCTTTTTCAAATTTGAAATTTTAATGTCAGAAGTTATAAGAGTGAAAATTTAAGAATTTTTGTTTCTGTCTTTATAGTCAAGGAATTTGGGCATTCTCACTGTGATACTTGTTTTGTTGATTTCTAAATACAAATTAAACAGTTCGTGTGATACCTACATTTTTTAATCCCACCAATATGCTCTGCTTCCTCGAATGCTACCTTTGCCGAATCCCCCAGCTCCACCGAATCCGCCTGTGCCACCAGCTCCACCGAAACCACCAGTGCCACCAACTCCACTGAAACCACCAGTGCCACCAACTCCACCTCCACCGTCAACAAGCCCTAGAAGAGTAATTACTGTTCCACCACCAACTCCACCGACTCCTGCTCTACCAGCACCATAGCCAAGACCTCCTGTTCCAACACCTGCATATCCACCACCACCTCCTCCTGTTCCAATACCTGCGTATCCACCACCACCTCCTCCTGTTCCAACACCTGCATATCCACCACCACCTCCTCCTGTACCAATACCTCCATAACCACCTCCAACTATTCCTCCAGATCCTAGACTAATGGGAATAGCAAGAATTGCCAATCCTACTGCACCACCTGCAAGGCCTCCAGCACCACCTCCAATTGCTCCACTACCACCACCAACTCCTCCAATACCACCTCCGAGTCCTCCAGCACCACCTCCACCTACTCCAGCACTTCCACCATATCCTGTAGCTTCCGCCTGAATATCTTGAGCATCAGCAGCTTTACCTTCCAGTTCACATGTGACTGAATATATAAAACCTAAGCACAGTACAGCACCAATCTGCAATGTAAGAAAGAAGTCCTTTCAGGAGTGCATGTCACATGATACTAATAACACAGGCCTGCGATGGTTTATTTGTCTTGAAATTATTGCATGTTCTATAGTAATTCCTGTACACTGAATCCGAAAATGATATCCATTTCTGTTCATCGCGTACAGATTTTTCACAAAACGTCATATGTACTTTTACATAAGTTTGTTTGTTTGCTTAAAGTTAAACACAAAGCTACACAAAGGGCTATTTGTACTCTGCCCACCACGGGTATCGAAACCCGGTTTCTAGCGTTGTAAGTCCGCAGACATACCGCTGTGCCACTGGGGGCTTTACATAAGTGAGTTATTTTCACTGAAATCGGGTCACGTTTTGTTACGCTTAGAATGTTGACAACCACTGGCTACAGATTTCTCTAGACTAATCGCGACGTGAGAGTCTTATCGATCTTTTTAGAACCCAAACATAATTATAA